CATAACAATTTTAATTTCTACTGCTGGAATTTTAAGTATTGTGGAAGTACATTGAGAATAATAAGTAGCATTTTTTATGAAAAAGTGTTTCAAAAGATGAAATTTATTTTCTCCTCACTGTAGTTTCAGTTTCTGCATTTCTTGGTCATAGTTTCTTATACTCAAAGTGAAAATGAATATCTTTCGTACTGAAGCATGGAAAATAATGTTACTTGGAATTTTCTATGGAAATTATCACTGAAGTGATTCTGTGGTTCAAATCTTCTGACATTATCAACTACTTCTGAAGAAGAAAAACTCTTTTACGTACACATTTACAACTAGCAAAACTCTTTAGCATCTAAGAAGCTTTGATTAATTGGAATTGACTTTAAAGTACCCTTAATGATGTCCCTTTAGCTCCCAGGTAAGAGGAATACTGCTGAATCTACTCTAAACCAGGGGGTATGCTTTGTGGAGAAGTGGACACGAAATGAAGCCTTGCTTCAAATGTGATGTGGAGATCTACTTCCTCTCTTTTGTGTCTTCGTGCCTTTAGTTTATGTGGTTTTTGCCTTTAAGACTTGGCAGGTAACGCAGATCCTCTGTGAGGTGGAGAGAAAAAGTGCAGCCACTTGGTCATTTGGCCCTAACTGGTGTGAAATGGAGAGAAACCCAGGCGTGTGCGGAGTGCTGTGTGTTTCCGTAGTGATGCAAGGGCAGTGACCGGGGTCAGAGCCAGGCAGGCATCTGCAAAGGAGCCAGCTTCTGTCTATGGTTTCCATCACTACCATTGACCTCTTCATCCTCCTGTCTTCTCTTGCTGCCTCTGCCAGCTATCAGTCATCTGTTGTGTACATATTCTCTTCTTTTCATCTACCATGTTATACTATGTCTGTTGTGTAAGTAGTGTCTGTATGTTATTTACCTATATCTTATTATCACAGAAGTCATTTGTTATTTCAAAAAAGGCCAAGACAAAAAAAAAAATCCTATACTAGGAAGTCTGATAGGCAAATTTGCTGTGAGAATTAGTCCTGACTGTTGGACCTCTGTCTACAGATGCTTAAGTAGTCCTGGATTTAAAACATAGCCAGCCCAGGTGCCAATGGCTCCGCCTATAATTCTAGCTGCTCAGGAGGCTGAGATCTCTGAGGACCGTGGTTCAGAGCCAGCCCAGGCAGGAAAAGCCATGAAACTCTTATATCCAATAAACCACCAGAAAACCAGAAGTGGTGCTGTGACTCAAGTGATAGAACACTTGACTTGAGGTGAAGAGCTGAGGGACAGCGCTCAGACCCAGAGTTCAAGCCCCATGACCCCTCTCCAATGTATAGCAAAGTTGTTTTTAGCCCTGATACCCCCAATGACCTAGTCCCAGTACTACAGACATTGTAACCTTTTGGGTAATCTACAATCTGAGCTGCTGTCCGACACATTTTGATAATAGAACGAATATGGACCCCTCTACCTTTTCCTTCACAGTCATCAGATAGTTATGTGATCACCTGCAGTTGTCCTGATAGTCAGTGTGGCTGCCTCAGTCCAGCTGCACATTCACAAGTGTGTGTCAGGAACAGACCGCCTGTGTTCTGTGGCTAGACTTGTGAGTGAATTCCTCCATGCACCATTCCTAGGTTGTAATGTAGAGTCAGGCTAAGTTCTGTAGGACATGATCCTTTCTGTAAAGGCTTTGCACGCTGGTTGTAAGGACAAGCTGTTTTCGTACGTATGTTATGAAAACAAGCCGCTGAGGCCTTGGAATTCCAGCAGCATCCTGAGAACAGCACTACGGTGATGGGGTCCCGTGGCACCATCTGAGTCACAGAGTCTGGGGGAGCAGAGCCGGAAGTGGGGGCTAAGTTCATCCTCCACAGAGGATGACGAGCTACTTAAGAGAATTCACAGGCACACCCGAGAAAGACAAGTACCCCTTTTCTGGGCACCAACTGTATCCAGTTAGGCTAGAGTAGAAGATTCTGTGTTTTTTTGGTTGATAGAAACATTGTTGAGCCGGGTAGACATTTTCCCTTAGCTACAAAGTCCTGGGTAAGAAACAAATATGGTATGTCATGGTCTTTCGCCTGAAAATCAGTTAGTATGAGGAGTGGAAGAGATTATTTGGGATATTGGAGACGGAGGCCTACAGATTTTTCTGTAAAGGGCCAAGTGGAGAAGGGCCCTGGCATTGCAGGTGGCACGGGTGAATGCTAGCTTCTCAGTCTGCGCCAGGGCCAGGCTGTCAGCAGAGAACCCCACTTTACCCACAGGCAGGACACAGCACTTGCTGTATTGCTGAGTGTGCTGGCCCTGACCTGGGGAGTGTGTGTGGCATGGGGAGGCCCTTCTGTCCTGTTCCACGTCACCGCTGCTAGGTTCTCAAAGGATGGAGACCTGTGGGACTCCTTAGTCTCGTCTGGAGATGACATAGTTGGCGTAGTTTAGTTATCCAACCACATAAAATCCCTACTTTGAAATTTTTGTCTCTCTGGGGTGTATATCTGCATCTGTGAGGGACGTGAAGGGAGATACCCTGTGAGGTCGACACTAGCATCTCTCCTTCGTGAAGGAGTTCTGGTCTGCGGAGGATGTACAAGAGGAGTGTATCCATCTACATTTCCAGGTTTAGCATTCAGAGCTTTACAAAATCATATCCAATCCCAAGGAAGGCAAAGTCCATGTCCTTTGAAGTTGGTCTTAGTGAAAATTAAAGACAGTTCCCCCTCACGTGTAAATGTTCAGTGGGGAAATTAGTGAAAATTTAGTTGAATTGAGTATAGAAGAAAACGTGGAATGCAACTAGGACTTATGAAGACCAGACTTGTATTTAGAGTTGTAAATGCAACAACCAGTCCATGGTGTGTGTGGAGTGGCTGGGGCAGTGGCTGGAAAGCCACCTGACCAGTTTGCAGTGCCAAGATAGCTCTGAAGCTGAGGTACAACCTTCATCCATTGTCACCCTGCACAGGTACCCCTATTTGCTGCATTTCCTGTCTTTCCTCTGCTTCAGGGTATTCCTTCTGGTGACCCAAGCAGGCTGTGGCTTTCATTTTTTAAGTGCTAAGCAGGAAACAAAATGGATTAGACAGCATTGCAACTAGCACCAGAAGGGCTACTTCACTGACTCTGTTCAAAGGATGGCTGGGGAAAGCCCATAAGGTGAAAGCAGTGAGTCAGTTGCTTCTACAGGGGCTGGAGCAGCTGTCTCCTCTGGTTAGCTGAACATGTGTGTGTGTGTGTGTCTCGTGTGCGTGTGTGCACGTGTGTGTGACATGGAGGGAGCGTATTTCTGTTTTGCCTTCTAAGGGAAAGAAGAGCCACTTACCCTGTAAGCAAGAGATAAAAGATTAGGTCAGGCAAAATGTTTCCCAATCCTCTTGGAGCGCCAGTCCTTACTCCCTTTTACTCTGCTCTCAAATAGGTTGAAATGCAGTAGACAGGTGAGGGCTGTCTGCCCATTGGCATTCTACTTTCCTTGATGAGCCTGGACCTTCAGCAGAGGCTTTGTGGATCTTCTAGGCTTTGGGGTTTCATTCTTTTTCAGACAGTGTTTTATCACCTTTCTTCAAAGCCACGTGTGTCTTTCATTCTGTTGTGTTGCAGGTTCAGTGCTTTGTAGAAAGAAATCAAAAGGGTAAAGTGTGAAAGCAACTTCACAGCCAGCCTTTGGAGAAATAGTTTATTCCGGTATTTTCCTCATGAATTGCAAGGATACTTCCCAGCATGCCAGGGTGTATATGGAGGCGGTGGTAGTAGGATTGTGGACATTTGTTCTAGAATAAAGTTTCATAAGACACTTCCAGAAGTGATTAGGTATCAAAAGTGATCTATGAACAGCTAATGGCTGTAATTGTAAAGTTCACCACAGTGGTGAGATCGGATATATTAAGCCACACTGGCTTATTATTTGCCTAATTCTTGTACAAATCCTTTCTTTCATAGTGGCTAACATGCATTTAGTCTAAGAAAAGCTTAATGACTGAGAAGGCGATGCATGTTCCACAATTTTTGTGGCTTTGCGGCCTCACATTCAGATACTAGTCATGCATTTCATTAGGCAGATGGACACAGTGAGCTCTGAAGTCTCAGGGCCAGTTGGCCTGTGGAGGACTGCTCCCATCAGGACAGTGGATCGTACTACTTGATTGAAACTTGAATTTTTTTTTTTTCTTTGAAGAATGATGGATGGTTTGATCAAAATGTTAGAACTCTTTTTTAGACAGATTCCAAAAGAATTCAAGGTCAGAATCAGTATTCTTGGTACATCGGAACTTAGCATTAGAAAAAGCTGTTGCATTGTTAATGAAGGTTATTTTTTGTCTCCTACCCACCCATAGTGGCTTAACATTTAGGGCAGATGTAAACATGGTCTTGACCTCCCTTCTCCTCTGCATGTGAATCTTTGGCTTTGACGTCTGAATTCTTATTTCAATGATAAGTACTGTCCTCATGTATTTTGAATTTTAGTAAGTTCTTCTTTTGCTTTGTTTTATCTGATGTTTCCTTTGGTCTTAGTGATTTGGCTTTCATAAAAAAAATACTCTAGTTTAAAGTCCTTGTGACTGACATGCTTGATTAAGGGGGAAAATCTCATTAATAGAAGGAGATGACAATCAGTAATGGTATTGGCCAGCTCTCTCCAACCCAGACTGTTACACCATCCATTGTCAATTCAGTTGATGAGAGCGCATGCAGATCAGGCAGCTCTCTGTACCAGCAGACGTGAGTGAGATTGCCAGATTTAATTCTGGACCCTTGAGCTGCAACTGAGCCAGAAGGGGCCAGGGCTGAGCGTGTATTGAGAAAATAAGTTTCATGTAGCAAGAGCGTTGTGACTATCTCATTGAGGATGTATAAGGGCAGGGGAAGATGTCAAGGTGAATGATGCATGTTTTTTTCTTTTCCAACTTCAAAGACAGAGAAAACATAGTTTTATAACTGTTTCCTTAGATAGACTCTATTAAGTGATACACTTTATCCATTGAGACCATTCTGAAGGTTTTTTTTTTCTTCTCTTGCAGGGGACATCACACAAAAAGGATATGAAAAGAAGAGGTCAAAATTAATTGGAGCCTACCTTCCCCAGCCTCCACGTACGTACAGGTTGATGGGTGGCATAAGCGACTGGGTTTAACTGAGACAGAACTGAAATTCCTTAGTCCGGAATGTGCATGAAGAGCACACATTTGGCTGGCACGCCCACCGTATCTGATTCCTTTGTGCGATGATGACACATACGTTTTGTAAGTCTAGAAGGCACATGTGGTTTTCTTAGAAACATGCTTAATTAATTTAATAGATCTGTTGGTTACTTTGAAATGCTATACTGGCAAAATGTGAGTATTTGTGATTTAAATGTGATCTTTGGATTAATGGATTAATTATCGTGGTTGATGATGATTTACAAAAGGGTTTTGGGGATATCATGGGGCGGGGGGAAAATGCATAGAAAATGACACAGAAGTGTGGAAGCTGGTTGTGTTAGGAGGTGGCTCTTGTATGCATGGCACCAATCGCTGAAAAGTGCCAAGAGTGTCTGTAGGTGCTCAGGCGTGAAGCCTCTCCTGCACTTGACCCAGGCTCTGTCCATGTCAAGGAGAGGAGACAGTTCTGGGCACAAGTCCCAGCACCCCTTCCCCTGACACCTTAGTTTACTTGGAGGGCTGGACTGTGAATGTGGCGTTGCCATTGTGCTCGTAGTTTCGTTGGGGAACTTGGGTTGTGTGTGTACGGTTCCTGTCTGGATGTTAAGGAGGTTGGTGCACAGTGGCCCGTGCATGTAGGCTTCTTGGCTGATGCTGCCCTTCCCGTGGTTAGTGCTGCGTGTGAGGGGCAGGGAAGCAGTGTCACTGGAGCAGAGGGGCCAAGGTGGCCGGGCCCTGGCCAGAAGGCACTGGGTGAGGGTCGTCCACCTGGCCTTCCCCCCGCTGGACTCTGGTCTCAGGTAGAAGCCCTTGCTGTTCTCCCCAGGGTCCACGTCCAGTGGTTAGCCCGGGCCCGGCTGCGGGCCGGCTCACCGTTGTCTTTACCGAACAAAAGTGAAACAGAAGCAGTTCCCCGTCCCGGAGGCCAGCACCGGAGGAGGCCGGTGTCGGAGGAGGCCAGTGCTGGAGCCACAGGCCGGCCCTGCGCTCCCTCCGGCGCTCGGTGGCTGTTCTGCATGGGGTCGGCAGCTCTGCTCAGCGCTGTAACAAATTTAAAAAAAACTAAAGTCTGAATTAATTAGTTTTTTTTCAACTTGTTACAGCAGCGAATGGAGCTGCCGTGGTTCGGTGTAGACTGCAGCACAGTGAAGTGGCGACGAGGAGAGCCTTCCGTCCTGCCCACATCGGGGTGTGCGACATCCGAGAAGCCGCGGCCCGGGAGCGGGAGCGGGCCGCCAGCGCCGCGGGGAACCGGCCTCTGTTTTACTTTCGTTTCGGTGAGCTGCGTGGCCCAGACCCCGGCCAGGGCCGGCACCCGGGACCAGCACCCAGGGCCAGCACTCAGGGTCAGCACCCAGGGCCAGCAACCAAGGCCAGGCATGGCCCAGAGACCCAGGCTGAGAGTCAACACCCAGGGCCAGCACCCAAAGCTGGGCATGACCCAGAGACTCCGGCCAGAGGCCAGCACCAAGGGCCAGCACCCAGGGCCTAGCATAGCCCAGAGACCCTGGCCAGAGGCCAACACCCAGGGCCAGCACCCAGGGTCAGCACAAGGGCCTGGTGTGGCCCAGAGACCCTGGCCAGGGGCCATCACCTAGGGCTGGGCATGGCCCAGAGACCCGGGGTTCCATCACCAAGAGCCGAGCCAGAGCCCAGCCAGAGCCTGTCACCAGGCACAGGGCATGGTCCAGGCCTAGCCAGGGACCGACACCCAGGGCCTCCTATCATGCTCCTAAGGCATAGCTAGCATGGACCGGCATTGGCCTATCCAGAGCCCGGGCCCTGGCAGTGTCGATGTTCTCCCTCACAGGAAGTGCTACAGGACATTTGAGGAAAGAAAGGCTGCATGACAGATCATGAAATCCTTCTTAAAATGGTTGGCCTTCTGATTGTCTTATGACCAGAAACCTAGGCAAAACGTGATTCAATCTTGGTGATTTTGAGAGGTAGAAGATTAGTGTCACCAAAGATCAAGTTTAGAAACCTTTGAACTGGAAACATCAAACCAGCTAACCATAGGGTATATTCTTGGTGGGGGGGGGAGGAAATGGGGGGATCCCACTGAAAGATGGAATTACTTCCTATGGAGCATTGAATGGAAGAAGCCCACAAGGTGGAAAATAACTTGAAAGTACCCTTGAACAGGATAAGGAAATAAGCATTTGTAGATTGGGTTTTGGGGTTCGTGTTCAGGGTTCTTTCTCAAATCAAATGCACTGTTTTAAAATCACGGACAAATAATAAGACTGGGGGTATGGCTGTCTGCATGTGTAAGACCCTAGGTGTGATTATGTAGAGGAGACAGGATGGAGAGCGGGAGGGGTGGGAGCTGAACTTGGGTCTTCCAAGTGGTCATTGGGGTCTGTAGCTCACTCATGCAGCTGGTGGTCTGTGGCTCCCACCCAGGAATCTCAGAAGTGGACACCCCAGCTGTCTCTCAGCTTTGGCTGTCACTTATCCCCCAGTGACCATTCTGACGGTTACCACAACATTTTAAGGAACAGATAGAGGGTTGAAGAATCAATGATAGAGTCACATGTTACCTGTGAGGTCTGTTTTGTTTTGAATTTTGGATTGAAATATGTAACAATAGAACTTCCTCAGGTTTGCTGAGCTCTGTTCCACACCACAGGCCAGCTTAGCCTGGCCATGATTCCAGGCCAGTCCCATCACTTAGGATAGTGAGTCGGTCCCAGCTGCTTTGCAGTGTTTATCACTCACTCACTGGCTCAGAAGCTGTTGTTGGGTGGAGAATCCATAACCATCTAGCACTTTGTTCTGTGGGAAGGAGTAAATAAAACAGTCATTTTTAAAGCAGAAGATTCTTTCCTGTTTCTGTCTGTGGATTAATTCTAGGATCTGTTTGAAAGACACATTTTTTTTTTTTTAGAATAGTGTACTGTACAGTTTCCTATAAGGAGATTGTGTTTGGAGCATCTTTTATTTTATTTTCAGTATTGTAAGTTGAACTTCAGGCCTTGCTCTTGCTAGGCAATCACTGGAAGCCAGGTCTCCAGACCTGTTGGCTTTAGCTTTTTCTTCAGATAGGATTTCATTTCTGCCCAGGGCAAGCCTCAGATTTCCTACCTGTGGTCTCTTGACATAGCTGGGATGCCCTGCCCCACTTTGTTGTTGAAATCGGGTTTTACTAACATTTCACTCAGGCTGGCCTCAAACCTTGATCTTCATCTCCTGAGTAGATAGGATTATAGACAGCAGCAACCAGATCTGGCTTATATTACTTTGGTTTACCGAAGAAAATATCGAGATTTCTCCAGAAAGTATTCTAGAAATATTTGTAAGATATTGCTTGAGACATATGACTAAAGTTTGAATGAAATTAGAATGATTAGCCCCCAAACTGGAAATTCAGTCTCTTCCTGGAATGCTGTGCATGCCGTGTGGTCTCGGGCTACCTAGGGAGGAGAAAAGGCTCTTGGAGAGTTGTGGTGAGGTGCATGCTGGGAAGGCAGGTTGTGTTTGCTGAGTGTGTGTTCAATGCCCTACCCAGCTCAGTCCAGATGAGAACTAATGGGGGTGGTGGGGGTAAATCAGAGAATTTAGGTGACAAGTATTTTCCAAGAGTAAGTACTCGGGGGAACTTACTCATGTAGCATTTGTCCTCTTGTAGTTTTTTTGTTTTTCTTTTTATTGTTTTGTTTTGTCTTTTAGACCACATAGTATCTCTTTTGACAATTTTTTTTCCCTTAAAATCTCCAAACCCGGTTAAACTTGTAAAAATAGAATCCACTCTCTAGCACTCATCTGGGATGTCGTGATATGACTATCAGCTTGTGTAATGCATCTCTTCTGCTTTTAGGGCATGCAACATGGTGATGGAAAGTAGTGAAATTTCAGTGTTACTATGAATAGTAGAACTTGCCTTGCCCAAATATAGTCCTGCTTTCCTTTGGATGCTGGCTAGGTGTCACTTACTGCGTGTCTGGCCAGGAAATGCTTCTCAGCACAGGACTGATACTCCACACTCAGCCTGCTTTTGCTTCAGTAGCCAGGCAGATCCCAGTTCAGTTATAAGGACCAAGGATTCACAGTGATGAAGGCCTTTCAGAGATTTGATTAACTTAGCTTGTGTGAATCAGTTAGTGTCTGTCTTCTTTCCTTTCTGCACCCTACGATGTCTGGACACAATGTCTGTGGTTCGAGAGAATACATGAATTCCCATTTCCTCTCCCTGGAGACTATAGATGGCTCCGTGTACAGTAGAGGTAGACACACCGCCCTGTCTGTTCTTCCCCCTGCCACCCTGCTGGCTGTCCTCAGCTCCCTAGGCATTTGTGCTGTTTCTTACATTAGGAATCCTGAGCATGCTGTGCCTTTTGTCTGTGCCAGGTTTGGTTCAATGCTCAGCTTAAATGCCACTTCTTCAGGATTTCTTTTCTGGTCCCTGAGTTAGCACAGCCCTAGGTTCTGGTCTTCAGGAAGTCCCGCCTCTGCACTACTTCCTATGGCTGTAGGTGGAAGTGCGCCCTCCCCCGTCCCCCCCAGCAAGAGCGATAGACGGCCTGAAGTTCTCTTGTCCTTGGTGCACAGGAAGCTGTGCCTGCCCACAGGTGAGTGCAGCTGGAGGCAGATTGAGGCAGCAGCTGGCTTTTCCTGACCCTTGAGTTCTCCCTCCCACCCTTGCATCCACTGAGCCCCATCCGGCAGGCAGCTCAGTGTTTCCTTGTGCCAAGACAGCAGGAGAACTGGGCCAGATGAAGCCACTGTCAAAGTGCTCAGTGCTCAGGTTCATGGACTGCCTCCAGCCTCTGGCTGCAGGCCTGTTTTACCTGTGACGGCCTTTCTGTATTTCTAATCTGGATGAACTCTTAAGTGGCAGTTGGTAACATACAAATGTGCTTGTCAATGAGGGAAGTGTCAAAAATAACGTAATTTGGGACCTTAGCACACTCAGCTAATTCCAATGAGGTGAATTCTGTATGTTTTTGGAATTCAGTGTGTAAAGCCCCTATGTTTGGTGCTCTGACTGAGACGCAGGCAGTTGTTACATGAATTCTGTCATCATGGCCTCTTCAGTGGCCAGTGTGGAGACAGCTTTATCTGAAAACCACGTGCAGATTTCCCTCCCAGATTGTGAAAAGCAAGTTGCCTAGACTTGTCAAGAGTTTAGCATTGGTGAATTCTGTGTTTTGGGCACATACAAAATGAAAACATTTACAGTTGAGGATGTGACCCTGAGCCAAGTGCTGTTTGTTGATTTGCCTAGACAGCAAAGCTGGCTGACCAGCTTGCTTGAGTCAGTTGTGGCTCTGCTCTGATTCTTCAAGTTGACGTCACTGGGATTCCTGTGGCAGGGGCACACGGCACCACAATTTTCATTCTACCCAACAGTTCCACATCCTCCATATGGAAGCCACGCCAGCTGGCATGCATGACCTCTTCCTAGCCTGGGCCAAGGGACACATAGGTGTGTGCCAGGTGAGTCTCCTCAGCTGAGAAGCTGTGCTGTTCCCTGTGCCCATGGTACAGGAGGCTGATGTGCAAGGTTAAATCTTAAGACGAGGAGGGAAGTAGCGAAGTTGAATCTGAGAGGAGGAGAGAATGAGTATGAGGTTAGTTTTTGCCTGTTAGTAACATGGCATGAGTTCCTTCGGTGTGAACCGAGGGAGGCTGTGAACCTCTGACCACAGAGCACAGCCCAGCTGTGTACCAGGTAACAGCTGTGCTCTTCTCTGCCATGCCACTGAATGGGGTATTGATTGCCTAGAAACGTTCTTCCCCCACGGTGTTGATTTGATCAGATGACTTTCCTGTTCGTGTGTGTGTGTGTGTGTGTGTGTGTGTGTGTGTGTGTGTGTGTGTGTGTGATTTAGTGAACTGGGTTCTTTGTCAGAGATACCAACGGCAAAGAGGGAACATAGCAAAGCTCACTGTTTGTGTGGTTGGTTGAGTATGTCCACCAAAAGGAAGGCCATGCTCTCACCTCATTCTCTTGAAGGCTGAGGTTATAGGCCTGCACCTCCACACCTGCCTTAAACCTTGCTACCATAGCCACACACAAGCCAATACTCAGTTGATGGAATTAGATGTAAATGTCAAATTATCTCAAATTCTGGATCTGCATTTTCATAGTTGGTGAGTTCCTAATCAAATTAAAATTTATCATAGGAAAATCACTATTAAGCATTTTTACAGCCGACACTTATGTCTGTAAAAATAGAGACAGACAGACAGACAGAAATAACAATGCTGGTAATGTAACTACGAGATTCACAGGGCTGGGAGGGAATTCCAGGCTTGTGTTTGTGAGGTTCTCATCCAAGTTGATGCAAAATGAACGTCGTATGTTTCTTATCTGTACATACAAGCACTGTTTACTCTCTGGCAAAGTCTTTGATTGAATTCATTGTAGAAATAAGTGCTGCTGTGTAAACCACAGGGTATAATTAGGTGCTGGAAGAGAATAGGACTCTATTCAGACACTTTTTTTAAAAATAGTTTTGAGCTATGGAAAATCCCAGGAGCCTCACAAAGAGTATCAGGCAAGTTTTGCATGCATGCCAGCCTGTAGTAACTTCCATAGGGCCCTGAGCATGCTCCATGGCTCAGTGGCTCATCCTCAGTGCCAGCAAGAAGCCAGGAGAAATGGATCCCAATGCACGCCCAGGGAACTGTCACTCACCTAGTAGATGTCCTTGTTTACCACCAAACCAGGGGATCTGTGGCTTAGAGGCAAATTCACTTGCCTGAGTTATGCAATTAGTGGAAATAATACCACAGTTGGGATCAAGGTCACCTCCTCTTCAGTCCATCCATATGTTAAGTCTCCTTCCACATATCCCATGTGAGTTCCTTTAGAATCTTTGTTCAGCTAAGGTCTGTCTGTAATCCAAGCTATGTGGGAGTGGGAGGTGAGGAAGATCATGATCTGAGGATGGCCCCAGCAAAAGTGCAATGCCTCCTCTGAAAATTAAACTATAGCAAAAAGGGTTTGGAGGAATGGCTTAAGTGGTAGAGCACTTGCCAGCTCAAGACACTTGAGTTCAGCCTATAGTGCCGTCCCCGCCCCCCTGCAAAAAAATATTGGAAACCAGTATTTTTCAGTTTATTTCTCTGATGATCCAGATTTGCTGTGTGAACTGCTCAGTCTTCATCTGACCTCTCATGCATTCTGTTAGAGAGAATGGCTGGCTGGCTCCTGTGTGTCTTATTCCTACAGCAAACTTGAAGACTGTGGTGCTGTTTGGTGTGTGTTTTACCATAGTATCGATGAAATACTCAAATGCATTTACTTACTAACATGAAGTGATGGATTGTTTAGGTATCAGAAGTATTATTAGGCATTTTCTTTGGGGAATCCTTTTTAATCGTATGCTAGAAAATAATTGGCAAAAGTCCTGACATAAAGGGCTTCTCTGCTTTCTCTCCCTTTGGTCTTAAAGACGTTCGCACACCTGGCAGATAGAAATGAGAACAGCAGAGGGGCAGGGCTGAAGCTTGGGACTGGACACTGTGTTGGTTGGTCTCAGAAGACACAGCTGGAAAGGAGGGTGGCTGAGGCTGGAGGTGGCATCTGCTCAGAGGGGCTGGCAGCTGTCTTCTGTCATCAGCACGGTAAAGAGAAGTGAAATTGCGGAGTCCTGCCTGGCTTGGGTGGGGAAGGTCTCTGTGGGCGGGGAGAGGAGCTCGGGTCTGTGGGCAGGAGCCCAGGTGGGACCAGGCCTGGCTTCACTACCCTTGGGAGGACACCTGGAGTAGAGGGGGAGGCACAGGCGATCTGAGGCTTCAGAGCGTAATGCGTTTGTTTGTTGGCCATGTGCAGGAACCTGGAAGAGTCAGGTGTGTGGGCACTCGGGGAGGGGCTAAGCTCTCTTGGCTCATCTCTTTGGGTGTCCATTCCCAGTTGAGGGGCAAAATAATCTTACTGACTGACATCGTTGTTATTTAAATTGAGGTGGCCCAGCCCCTATAGGATCCTTAGGAAAATTACTCATTAATTCCAGAGTATTTCCAGAGTCCATTTGTGGGCCAGGGGGCTGTACTGGCCCTGTGGAGAGCAAGACAGACATCAACTCTTATTGGATCTTACGTGATCTGTCTCTCTAGTAAGGATCTGATTGAATCTACCTCTGTGTTAGATGGGACCCCAGCAGCTTGAGAGGCTCCACGTTTCATTCCTGAGCAGCAACCTCAAATTGTAGTGGTTTCAACCTTGTTTATAAAATATATAAAAACGATGTTGAATAAACATATGGTTTCCATGTTGTTTATAAAAAATGCTGTCCAATAAGCAAAAACATTTATAAAAGGGATCCCCAAGATACCACCCTATTTGTTCATTGCAAGCACTATTATTGGGCTTTTGAAGGCTCCTGGAATACAGTCCTGAGTGAGGCTCAGCTATGGGGCTTTCCCTCTGGAGATCAAGGGCTGGGCTCATCCAGAGCACATCGAGTTCTGGACAGGTGTGTAGAAATTTCTGGAAGTGGCCTCTGTCCCAAGTAAAAAGGCAGTTTGAGTAAGAAGAATGTTTAAATGCAACTGAAGAATAGCACAGACTACCTGAATTCAAATCCTGCCCTGCCTTCACTCCCTCATCAAATGGCAGCCACAACAGCCCCTTGCCCATAGTTGTTATGTTAGAAAATTGAATGTTATGATAATGAAGTACTTACACCAGTACTACAGGCAGTTGCCATTCCTGTCTAGAGATGGGCAGGGGAGTGCTGGAAAGTTAGGGAATATTCCCAGGCAGCAGGATTGGATCCCGAGGCTGCAACTCCAGGGTAGGACCTCTCCCTTGTGCTGTGTGCTCTCTGTTTTTTAGAACACAGACCATGTGGCTAATGGCCTATAAAATATCTGAGAGAGGGTGTCTGGTTTTTGGCCTTGTTGTATTTTTGCCTGAGTGGCAGTAACTGTTAGGGGGACAGTCACCCTGTTTTCCTTGGAACACTTTCCTTCTCTGTAACTACTTTGACCACAGTTTCTATATGAGGCTCTTGGTCTGACTTTAGATCTCCCAAGAGCAGAAACTGGACTAAAACATAACCACCTTCTTTGACAAGAGGAGCAAAACGTGAGAAAGAAAGGCTGGTTTCAGTTGTGTTGGGGTACTTTGAAAGGACTAGCAGTAGGTACGCCAACTGCCATGATAATGAAAAGGAAGAGAAGTGTTAATTTCTGAATTATGAAAGGGTACAAGATGGAAAGGTGCCTATCACCTGCTTCCCCCTCCCCTGCCCCCTGTGGACTTCTCCATCTGCCCAGAATCCCGGCCCTGGTGATAGTGGAGCCCCTGTGGTGCGAAGGGGAAGTGCTTGTGTTGTCTGAACGTGGTCCTCTGGCATGGGCCTGGCCATCCACATCCGTGAGTGTGAGAGTGATCACGGTATCTACTGCTTTACACTCCAGATCCTTTGATTTCGTAAATGGGGGATCTAGTATGGATAAAGTATATTCTTGAAAAATGGTTGATAGGGAATAACTGGAAGAGATCTAGTTTTAAATGAGAAGCACAGCTGGTCTGCCTTAGGTAACCTAATGTGGGACTGCAGTCATGCTGTCAGAGCTGTACAGAAGTCACCGGGAAAGAGGAATAAATCAATTCAGAGGAGTATTCAGTACTGAAAACCAGGGATTCACATTTCTATTGTTAATTTTTAAATGTCTGGTTTCTTTTCAGTGACTACTGGTTCTTTTCTGAAGAAGCAGCAGTTGATTGCTAATACTTAGTAGAAGTAATTTCTTTTATTTCTGAACCACAGTGATTAGATCCTTCCTGTAGCACTTGATTTGTATCTAGACTGTTCTTTGCCCCACTTCATTGTCTCAGTGAAATAGATGCTGTGATTTTCTTGGCAAATCTAGGTAATCTGTTTGACCAGTATTGCTGAATAATTTTTATTTGGCTAAGATAATACTTTTAGTAATTCATAAAACTGTACCTGACTATATACTTGGTTAAACTATTTTGCATGGAGGGGAGTGATTTCCAGGGAGAGAGTGATTTGGATTGAATAAACCAGAAGGGTTAGTTGCATACAGGTGACTTCCTAGTTACCTGAATTAGGTTGCCAAAATAGCCTAAAAGATTTATATTAAATATGACGTTAAATACTAAATTTCTCAGGAGTGTATCACCTCTCCGTTCACCTTGACTCTACATCTTGGGCTCTGTCGTTCATCCCGTGATGTCGTTGATGTTGTGATAGGAGGGAGCACGTGCCGGTGTTTCTGGAAGCCTCCACCACTGGTGGGAGGGGCCTTCCACACCCCAGCCGAGGCGCTTCTAGTGCTTTACCCACTCAGCCACATCTCCAACCTCCTGTGTTTTCTTTTAAATCCAGGGGTGGACCAAGCCTTGCCTCAGGAACGCCGGGCACCTGCCACCCCTTCCTCCGCCTCTCGCTACCACCGCCGGCGGTCCTCAGGGTCTCGCGATGAGCGCTACCGGTCAGGTAAGCAAAATGTGGGCTCCCTTCCCTTCCTCTCCCCATTCTTCCCCTCCTCCCTCCCCTCTTCTTGACATAGGTAAGGACTTTTTTTTTTATTATTGGAACTCAAACTTTAGTGTATATATAGATAGACTACTTGTGATACTAGCCTCAATTAAGACATGTACCTATGCTTTATATTTTTCAAAGTGCTTCTCACAGGCAGGATTATGATAAGCAGGTTGAAATAGGTACATGCAGTAGAAGAGAACAGTGAGGCAAAGAAAGATATACTCACCCAGCCTGTACCAGAGGTTAGCCATAGGCCCATTGTCTTATGAATAGTGTTCAATTTAGGCTCATGTGCCAAGCCACCCACTCTGTACTCTGTGATTGCTCTATCTGGCTTCCTGGCCCTTCTAGAAGGTCAGGGAGAAGAACAGCTCTGGGGCATCAAGGATCGTGGATGGGCTCTGAAGGAGAAGCCTATCCCTGCCTTACAAGTGATCTTCCACCTCTCAGGGAGCCTTCAGTGCCCAGGAAAGTGGGTGAGAAGGAAAGGAAGGAAGGAAGCGTTTGGTCCCCCACTTGCCCCTGTGGTTTCCATAGCTATATTAATGCCCAGCGCATATGGAGAGCCCAGCTGACCCGTGCAGGTGTCAGAGGCCCCATTCAAATAAATAGGAGAGTGAGGCAATGTATGGGTTTTAAATGCTTCCAGTGCCGTGCTCCTATTCTATCTGTGTATGTGCACAGACATGTCTAGAAAGTAGCCAAGTGTTTTTTCCTTTGTGTTTAGAGGGGAAGAAATGAAGTTGAGGGAGGTTATGTGATTTCTAACAGAGATAATATAAGGCTCATAAAAGTTAGGGGCCAATGATTTGCTCATTCATGTATGTCCAACACCTCAAAGGCCGGGCTTCTATTTTGTGAAAGAAGAAAACAAACATAACTCATTTGTGGAAGGGCAAGAAATGAGGCAAGACAGTCTAGATGATAAGGTGTCGGGTGTACCAGGCTTGGGGGTGTAGATACAGGCCTGGAGATCACAGGTGTCCTGTGAGCAAGTGGAGGATGGAGGCTTGCTTCAGTACCATGGAGAGCACAGACCAGATGCAGAGGAAGCTGACAGACTCCAAGTGCCTCGGACTGATAAATATTTAGGAAGTGGGCGTCATTACTAGTGAGACTGAAATGTTTAGAAGATGAGAACTGATGCAAAGTCAGAAGTGTTCTGAGACCCAAAACATCCTGAGTGCCAGCGTGACACCACCATTGGAAAATTCCACACCTGACCTTGTGTGATGGGCCCAGCAAAGCACAGGTGCACTCAGAATACTGCATACAGCTCCTTTCAGGTTATGTTTATGAAGTGGATCTGAAACATAAATGAATTTCTTATTTAGACTTGAGTTACATTCCCAAGATATCTCATTGTATAACTATTCTGAATTCTGATGAATTGAGAATGTGAAACTTGACCTCTAGTCCCATGCATTGTACGTAAGGGATACCCAACTTGTAATAGCAATTGGACCTGAAGACTGAGTTCAAGTGTGTAAGAAAGGGAATCAAGAGTAACATCATGAGACTAGGTGTGGTGGCTTATGCCTATAATCCCAGCTACTCTGGAGGCAGAGATCTGCAGGATCCCAGGTTGGAGGCCAGCCTGAAAAAAGTTAGTATGACATCCATCTTCACAAATAAGCCAGGTGATGTGGAATGTAAACCTGCTTCCTCAGGAAGTGTAGTCAGGCATATTGTGGTTCAAGAATGGCCTGGGAAAAGTGGGAAGCCCTCTGAAAAATGACTAAAAAAGCACAAATGTCTGAGTGCGTGGCTCAAGTAGCAAGTCGTTTGACTAGCAAGTACAAGAGCCTGAGTTTAAACCCTAGTAACTGCTCTATAACAGGGGTGGGCATGAAGATAATCTAAGTGCTGCACATCTCGTTGCCACTATTTCTACACCAGATTGAATGCTTTTAGAGAATCAAGGTTCTGGTAGGAAGGTCGAAGATGTCATTTGCCTCAGATCTTCACTTGCTGTATGTGAAAACTTACATAGGCGTTCCTCACAGTCCCACGTCAGGTAGAGTGAGGACGCAGTTATTCCAGGCATACTATTTTAGTTTTGAAACCTTTCTATGACCAACACCAAGCCTATGAAGAAAGCCAAGGTGGCGTGGTGATTATCTGGGAGGAGAGTCCTTTGGTTGATGTTATGCCATTTTTCTACTCTTCCAAGTTAAAAGAGTCCAGTTATAAGTTGACTTAGTTTACTTATAAATGTATATTGCCAGCTCCAGGACAACCACTCAAAACAGATTTTTTAAATGAAGTGTAATTGATAGGCTAAGTTCTTGTAAAATGATCATATAAGATTGAGATCATTTAAAATGCTCAATTACAGCTAGGTAAGAACTGGCTGCTGGTGCCTTATGCCTGTCATCCTAGGCTGAGACGGGGAGACTGAGGTTAGAGGCCAGCCTGGACACACATGCACTGCCCCTTCTCCATTGACACATGGCTGCTGCGTGCACCGAAAGTACAAAGCCATGAAAGTGAAAACTGGTCAACTGAACTTCATTAAGCAGAAAGCAGTGCTCTGAGAAAGACAGCAAATGAGAACAGAAGACAAACACTAGGTCGGATTGCAGACCTTTGTAAAACGTGGCTCTGACAGCACACTGATATCCCAAATAGAAAAAGATCTCTTAAGAATTCCAGGTAAGGGCTGGGGCTTGACTCAAGCAGTAAAGAGCTTAGTCCATGCAAGATCTGGGCTCAAGCCCTCGTACTGCAAAGCAACAAAACAAAACAGTCCTCCTCTAAGAAAATGGCTAAGTTATAAAAAAAAATAGACAAAAGTTCTGAACAGATACCCCTCCTTAGAAGATAAAGAAATGGCAAATAAGTACAGGAAAAGATGCTTGGCATCATCGATCATCAGGAAGATGTGAGTTAATATGACAAGATACTCTTAGAAGGATTAACATCCAAAACAGTGACAAGACAGAATGCTAGGAAGGATATGGAACATCAGGGACTCTTCCTCAGTGGGGTGAGAATGCAGAGTTCTCTAGTGCTCAAAAGACACATTGGCAGCTTCTTATAAAGCTAAACAAGCACTTACCTCATGAACTATTAGTCCTGCTCTGAGGTTCTACCCAGAGGAGAAAACCCATAGGTGTTCCAAGCAGCCTGCTTAATTGCTAAAATTGGAAGCAACCAAGATGTCCTTTAATGGGTGAATGAGTAAATTGTCCCACATCCAGACAGTGGAATAATGATGGTAAGAAGAAATGAGCCATCAAGCCGTGAAAAGATAGGGAGGAAACTTTAAATGCATACTAAGTGAAAGAAGCGAATGTGAAAAGTCTGCATATAGTATGACCCACCTCTGTGACATTCTAGAAAAAGCAAAACTGTGTAGACCTTGAGATCAGTATTTGGTGCATTTGGGGACAAAGCCAGGAAGTATTATGAGAGACCATGGAAGATTTGAGGGACAGTGAAATTATTCTTTTTGGTACTGCACTGGTGAGCACATGCCGTTATGTACTTATCCGAACTGCTGAAAGTGCCCTAACATCGAACCACAATGCATAGTATCAGCCTTATTTAATTCTGTATGAATGTGGCCTTATTAATTGTAATAAATGTGTCATGCTAATGAAAGAGGTAAATCATAGAGAAACGTAAGGTGAAGGGGTAGATGTCATCCTTTGAGGTCTAGCTTATGTTTATAATATGTATCATCCTATTAAGATCTAACAAGTCCAGTGTCTTTACATGACCACTCGCCAGGGTCTGCTCAGTGCCTGAATATATGAACTCAACTTCAGGACAGGTCTTCTCATTCTTAATTCACACCTAAGGATCCTGAGTCTCAATAGGCTAAGTAACTTGCCACACAGAAGAGGACCGGGATTTTGAGCCCCTGAGATCTGTCTCTAGAACTTCTGCTCTTCACCTCTCTAAAATGCTGTTTGGCCAATGCACTCTTTTCTTTGAGGTTGGGCACCTGTTCCCCTGCCCGTACATGTGTTAAGATCTGTGTCGTGTTACAAACTCTGAGGATAGCAGGAGCTGTCAGAAATGGACTGTGATTTCATACTTCAGAAGAGAGAAACAAAGGGAGAAACCATTCATTTTTTTTCTCACAATTTGAAACCATAGGTATATGCAGTAGTCTAAAATACTAACAATAGCTACCTCCTCAAATGTAGAGGGGGGTTTTATATTATGCCCCTCCTTAAGAGGCCATAGATGTTCAAATTTTTTTATAACTTCATCCTCCAAAACATCTCATTGCTCATGATATTTCAAAATACTAGTTTCTTCCTGATTGAAGCAAGTTGTAGTCATTTTAAAATGCTAAAAGGAAAGCCAGGCATGGTGATGCATGCCTGTACCCCCATCACTTAGGAGGCTTGGGCAGACCAAGCTGGGTTATATACCAAGGCCTGGTCTCAAAATGAACAAAAAAAAGTCCACAAGGAAAATGACTTTTCTATTTAGTACTCTAAGACCTAATTGAGGCTTTTGACATGGGTGGGCCAAATTTGGGAGTCTTGGGAGAAAGAATCTCAACTTAGTGATTGGTTAGGGGTGGGAGACTGACCTCTGAGAAAGGGCCAAGGCTGTAGGTGACTGGGATGGTTTTGTTCAGACGCACACTTCCCAGTATTCATGCATACCACTGTCCTTGAGTGACCAATGTACAATGGACAGGTAGTGACTGGTGTGTGCATTGTGTCTCATGCAGTTCTTCCATCTACTCTGGTTGCGATCCCATTTTCTGGACGATTAACAGGAAGCCTAGTGGCTTAAAGTTTTTACACTGTGTTAACATAGCTAAGATTCTGACATCAAAACCATTAATCCACTAAGTATCACTGCCCACAAACACCAAGAGGTGTCCAATGATGTTTCGGCCTCTGAAGTAGCTGAGATGGGACTTGACAAGTTCATGTGAACAAAAATGATTTGTCTGGGACATCGAGTGATATTATTAATATATT